ATCATATTTGGTGTTGAGGGCGTGGCCAATCATAAGGGGCGGGGCTTGAAGGGAAGGTGTGATCAAAAAGGGGGCGTGGACACTCTGAGGGGCGTGGCTTAACCAACTTTAGGGGTGATGTCACCACAAGTGGGCGTGACCCTCACACAGAGCAGCCAATCAGGGTGGGCGCTGACGGCCGTTGGGCGGGGCCGTTTTAGGGCGTGGCCAATGTGGGTGTGGCCATGTTGGGTGTGGAAAATGTGGGTGCGGCCATGTTGGGTGTATCAAGTGGGCGTGGCCATGTTGGGTGTGGCCAGGTGGGTGTGGCCGTGTTGGGTGTGGCAAACATGGGTGTGGCCATATTGGGTGTGGCCATGTTGGGTGTGGCCATATTGGGTGTAGCGAGTGGGTGCAGCCATGTTGGGTGTGGCAAATATGGGTGCGGCCATTTTGGGTGTGGTAAATTGGGGCGTGGCCATGTTGGGTGTGGCCATATTGGGTGTGGCAAATATGGGTGGGGCCATATTGGGTGTGGCAAATATGGGTGTGGCCATATTGGGTGTGGCAAATATGGGTGTGGCCATGTTGGGTGTGGCAAGTGGGTGTGGCCATGTTGGGTGTGGCCAGATGGGTGTGGCCATATTGGGTGTGGCCATATTGGGTGTGGCCATGTTGGGTGTGGCCATGTTGGGTGTAGCGAGTGGGTGCGGCCATGTTTGGTGTGGTAAATGTGGGTGCGGCCATGTTGGGTGTGGCCATACTGGGTGTGGTAAATGTGGGTGGGGCCATGTTGGGTGTGGCAAATATGGGTGTGGCCATGTTGGGTGTGGCCATATTGGGTGTAGCGAGTGGGTGCGGCCATGTTGGGTGTGATAAATATGGGTGTGGCCATTTTGGGTGTGGCAAACAGGTGTGGCCATGTTGGGTGCGGCCATGTTGGGTGCGGCCATGTTGGGTGTGGTAAATGTGGGTGTGGCCATGTTGGGTGTGGCCATATTGGGTGTAGCCAGGTGGGTGTGGCCATATTGGGTGTGGCAAAACATGGGTGTGGCCATGTTGGGCGTGGCCATATTGGGTGTAGCGAGTGGGTGCGGCCATGTTGGGTGTGGCCATGTTGGATGCAGCCATGTTGGGTGTGGCAAGTGGGTGTGGCCATATTAGGTGTGACAAACATGGGTGTGGCCATACAGGGCGTGTTCCCCGGGCGTGTCCTGACCCCGCCCCTCCCCCAGGTGCCCCGAGAAGCCCCCCGGGAGCCCCCCGGGCGCGCGGCCGAGCGGGCGGCGCTGGAGATGCAGCGGCAAAACCGCGGCTACCGATTGGTGGAGAGCGACGAGGAGGAGGAGGGGCCGAGCCCCGCCCGGGACCACGCCCGGGACCACGCCCAGGACGAGCCCCGCCCCCGCCGGCGGCACCTGAGGAGGCGGCGCCGCTCCGAGTCCCCGCCCGAGGCGGCCGCGGCGCCGCCATCGCCCCCGCCGTGAGTGGAGATGGGGTTTGGGGGGGTTTTCCCCAAATTTGGGGTATTTATCCCAAATTTAGTGGGATTTTGGGGCGTTTTCCCCAAATTTGGGGGGATTTTGGTTGGTTTTCCCCAAATTTTGGGAGTTTTTGGGGGGTTTGTCCCAAATTTTGGGGCTTTGGAGGATTTTTTTTTCCCCAAATTTAGGGAGTTTTGGGGCCTTTTCCCTGACTTTGGGGGGCTTTTGGGGGGTTTTCCCCAAATTTAGGGGATTTTTTGGGTTTTTTCCCAAATTTTGGGGGATTTTGGGATTTTTTTCCCAAATTTTGGGGGATTTTGGGGGGTTTTCCCCAAATTTTGGGGGATTTTGGGGCGTTTTCCCCAAATTTGGGGAGGGTTTTCCCAAATTTTGGGGGATTTTGGGGCATTTTCCCCCAATTTTGGGAGATCTTGGGACGTTTTTCCCCAATTTTGGGGGTTTTTTCCCAAATTTTGGGCATTTTGGGGGGTTTTTCCCAAACTTGGGGGATTTTGGGACGTTTTTCCCAAATTTTGGGGGATTTTGGGGCGTTTTTCCCAAATTTTGGGGGATTTTGGGGGGTTTTTCTCAAATTTGGAGGATTTTGGGGCATTTTTCCCAAATTTTGGGGGGTTTTGCAGAGTTTTCCCTCATTTTGTGGGGTTTTGGGGCTTTTTCCCTGACTTTGGGGGGTTTTAGGGGATTTTCCCCAAATTTAGGGGGAGTCTTGGGAGTTTTCCCTCATTTTGGGGGATTTTCCCCAAATTTTGAGGGGTTTTTGGGCATTTTCTCCAATTTTGGGGCGTTTTCCACCAATTTTGGGGGGTTTTCCCTCATTTTGTGGGGTTTTGGGGGCATTTTCCCCAATTTTGGGGCATTTTCCCCAATTTTGGGGCATTTTCCCCAATTTTGGGGTATTTTCTCCCAGTTTTGGGGGGTTCCCCTTATTTTGTGGGGTTTTGGGGCATTTTCCTTGATTTTGAGGCATTTTCCCCAAGTTTTGAGGGGGTTTCCCCAAATTTGGGGGGGTTTTGGGATCCCAAATTGACTTTTTGTGTTTCCGGGCAGGATTTTGATGCCTTGGGTGGTTTTTTTTGTGTTCCTGGGGTTTTTTGTATCTCCAGGGGGTTTTTGGGGTCCCCCGATCCCATTCTGACCCTCCCCAGGGTATTTTTAGTGTTCCCAAGGTTTTTTTGGTGTTCCTGGGTGGGTTTTTTTATGTCCCCAGGGTATTTTTAGGGTTCCCAGGGGGGTTTTGGGGTCCCTCGATCCCATTCTGACCCTCCCCAGGGTATTTTTGATGTGCCCAGGGGTTTTTTGGTGTCCCTGGGGTTTTTTGGTGTCCCTGGGGGTTTTTGGGGTCCCCAGATCCCATTCTGACTCTCCCCAGGGTATTTTTAGGGTCCCTGGGGGGTTTTTGGGGTCCCCTGATCCCATTCTGACCCTCCCCAGGGTATTTTTGGTGTCCCTGAGGGGTTTTTTGGTGTTCCCAGGGGGTTTTTGGGGTCCCCCGATCCCATTCTGACCCTCCCCAGGTATTTTTAGTGTTCCCAAGGTTTTTTTGGTGTTCCTGGGTGGGTTTTTTTATGTCCCCAGGGTATTTTTGGTGTCCCTGGGGGGTTTTTGGGGTCCCCCGATGCGATTTTTGCCCTCCCCAGGGTATTTTTAGGGTTCCCAGGGGATTTTCAGGGTTCCCTGATCCAATTCTGACCCTCCCCAGGGTATTTTTAGGATCCCCAGGGGGTTTTTGGGGTCCCCCGATCCCATTCTGACCCTCCCCAGGGTATTTTTAGTGTTCCCAGGATTTTTTTGGTGTTCCTGGGTGGGTTTTTTTATGTCCCCAGGGTATTTTTAGGGTTCCCAGGGGTTTTTTGGTGTCCCTGGGGGTTTTTTTGGTGTCCCCAGGGGGTTTTTGGGGTCCCCCGATCCCATTCTGACCCTCCCCAGGGTATTTTTAGGGTTCCCAGGGGGTTTTTGGGGTCCCCCGATCCCATTCTGACCCTCCCCAGGGTATTTTTAGGGTTCCCGGGGGGTTTTTGGGGTCCCCAGATCCGATTTTTAGGGTTCCCAGGGTTTTTTTAGGGTTCCCAGGGTTTTTTTTTGTTCCCAGGGTTTTTTTGGGTGGGGTTTTTGCCCTCCCCAGGGTATTTTTAGTGTTCCTGGGGGGTTTTTTGGTGTCCCTGGGGTTTTTTTGGTGTCCCTCGGTGGTTTTTGGGGTCCCCCGATGCGATTCTGACCCTCCCCAGGGTATTTTTAGGGTCCCTCGGGGGTTTTTGGGGTCCCCCGATCCAATTCTGACCCTCCCCAGGGTATTTTTAGGGTTCCCAGGGGGTTTTTGGATGGGGTTTTTGGTATCCCCAGGGTATTTTTAGGGTCCCCAGGGGGTTTTTGGGGTCCCCCGATCTGATTTTTGCCCTCCCCAGGGTATTTTTAGCATTGCCAGGGGGGGTTTTGGTGTCCCTGGGGGTTTTTTTGGTGTCCCTGGGGGTGTTTTTGGTGTCTCTGGGGTTTTTTTGGTGTCCCCAGGGGGTTTTTGGGGTCCCCCGATCTGATTTTTGCCCTCCCCAGGCCCCCCGAGCCCCCCGAGGAGCCCGAGGAGGAGTGGGAGGCGTCGGAGCGGGAGCGGCTGCGGGATCTGCGGGAACGCGACGCCTTCGCCGAGCGCCTGCGGA